TGGCGTTCGACATATAACAAAGCCATTAGCATTGAGTGTTTACAAAGAGGCTTGCAAGAAAAGTATTCTTTCGACCCTTGTAGATTTAAAAACAAATAAACTAATTGGAAATGATGACTGTAAGCAATCTTTTCATTTGGTGTGGGCAAGAATTTATTTGTTCGTATACAGAGTATTGATAAAAAAGGCTTCCAAATGTGTGTTGGGATATGATTGTGTTTGGTGGTGAGGTAAACATCAAATTTTTAAGAGACATTAACTACAAATATTCTCGTGGGCAGTTAGATAAACGTCCACCTGTTGATGGAGCACTGAATGGAATATTCTTGAAGTCAGTGTTCCAGGCCTATGAGTATAAACAAATTTTGTTTTTAAAAAACCATCAATTACTTAGATTCACTGATGCATGGGTTTGTGGCATGTAAAGATGGCTTACGACCAGTTTTAAACTCGAACTTAACATGAAGTGGACAAATTGTCATCAAGAACACAGATAAAGCACTACAAATTGAAATAGGTGATGCTAGTGGTCATGTAGCCCAGTCGTATGTCCATGTAAGGAACACCATTCAGACACACAAAGTGAAGAACTTTTGGAAAGCCTGGAATATCAAGTACTTATTAATAGTTCTTATCAAGAAGATCTTATAAATGACAGTAGAGGCTCAACCATTGTAATGTATGATGTCAAAAAAGCAAATGTAGCACTTCTGGCGCTTTCTCTTTTCACAAAAGAGTTGAACCTGTTTGGGGGTAATTCCACACCAAATCAACACAAAAAGGACAAAATTTTACCTCAACTAGTGAGATCAATTTGAAACTTCTCATATATTTATGACTTGACGATATATAAACACCTGTAAATTTTGAGCTTTATACCACACCCCATTGTAGAGATTTGGGTGTGGTCATTTTTGAAATTATGCAAAGGGTTTTGCTAATTGTAAAGGGTTATAATTACATAACTTTGTCATTTCACAAGATATATGGGTGGATGATAGCTCATTTGAAAGATATTTTTGTGTTCTACAATATGACACCATACTCATAGACATGCAAAGTATAACAAAATTGAGAATCAGGAAAATCCATTTTATTCTTCATTCTCCCCTGGGCAATGACAATGCTTTGGAAATCAGATGCTTCATAGAGGTCATGTCCGAAACTGCTCATGATGAGAAACTGTTTCAGGATCATTTGAACTGCCCTTTACTGGAGGACACAGTGTTAAGGGATATGATTATATGCTTTCCTAAGTGATGAATTTTATGACATTTTTTAATCTTCTTTGTCCCACTTGAAACCATTCTTTTTTCATACAGAGGTTGAGTCATCACCAGTCTATGTCCATTTTCATGATTAATTTGAATCTTTTACTTGACTTGTCATATTGTTTTCACTTTTGGGTCATTTAGCAATACTTTTTCTTATTCTTCAACTTTATGGATATCTGCCTATTGCCAACAATTGCCATCACTTCTAAATAGCTTTGTAAGAGTTTAGGTACTCAGGATTCTTGACAAAATAGCGAATGGCATGAGCTTTTACAATGAGTACATATTTGTTTGTTATATCAAAGGGTCATTCCATACCAAATCAACACAGCCAAAAAACCTTAAGTACTCAGATTCTTCTGAAACTTCTCATACATCTATAAATTGACAAGAGATAAACCCCTGTAAATTTTTCTTCATTCCCTCCTGGGCATTAAGCCTACAACCCCCCATTGTTGAAGTTTGTATATTTCCATTTTGTGATATGTAAATAAGTAATATGCAAAGTTCTGTGTTGGGGTTTACATGGGTTCCAGAGTTGTAGCCATTTAAAGGGAAGAAGGTATGGGTCTTGCCACCTAGTTCAGTAACACAATAATTTACAATGAGGGAGAAGCACTAAGGTTCTAAGTATAAGAAAAAGTGGTTGGAATACATACATTTAGAATTCTAAATATTTGTTGCAACCATAATTTGTTGTTAATATAAATATCAATAGAAAAAAAACAGGACTTTTTAAGGTCACTTTCGCAAGTAGTTGTTCAACCAAGAAACATTCTTTATGTTTTGGTCAATTGTTCTGTTGCATGATCAATTTCCCTTTGTTGTTATTGA